TTATGCACCATTGAGGATTAAGATACCATGAAGGTCTCCTCTTTTGCAATGAATCATTTGTCAAAGTGCCCCCATAAACCAAGATCCACATGAATAACTTTCACCTTAAGAGGAGCACATGCCTTCCAAATCTTTTGTGAAACAAAAACTGAGGTACATGCGGAATATCAATGATTTTGTCCAGAAAGGATTTACAAGTAAAAGATCCTGACGAATGAATATTCCAAAACCATCGATCCTCCAAAGTTGGAGACAAAGAAACATTTTCAAGCCTAGACAATAAAGATATCAATTTGGGAACTTCCCTAGCATGAAGGTTACATAAAAAATTAAAATTCCACGAACAAGGAGCCTATGAAGAAACAACCACGGACGCAACAGAACAATTATGAGATTGAAAAACTCTATATAGAAGTGGATAGGACTTAGCAAAGGTCAAAGAACCCACCCAAACATCCTCTCAAAATCTTACCGTGCCCTCCTTACCCACCCTCACAGAAATGAATTGAGACCAAATTGGATAAATATGAGAAATAGACTTCCACGGAGCATGCCCATAACCCCTAGAAACCACTTGAGAGTCCCTACCATTAACATGTAACCCATATTTACTTTTGATAACTGCATGTCATAATGAACCACGCTCAATTGGAAATCTCCATAACCACTTACCCAACAAAGCCATGTTTCTAGCCAGTATATTACCAACTGCCAAGGCCCGCTTCTCCTTTGGTAATGACACCGTTTCCCATTTCACCAAATGATCATTCCTTCCTTCATCCTTCCCTTCCCACAGAAAATCCCTCATTAGCTTTTCTATGGATTTTGCTACCTTGATCGGAATCTTGAACAAAGACATGAAATAAAAGTGCCCTCATGAACCAAGATCCACATGAACACTTTCACCTTAAGAGGAGCACATGCCTTCTAAATCTTTTTGTGAAACAAAAACTGAGGTACATGCGGAATATCAATGATTTTGTCCAGAAAGGATTTACAAGTAAAAGATCTTGACAAATGAATATTCCAAAACTATCGATCCTCCAAAATTGGAGACAGAGAAACATTTTCAAGCCTTGACAACGTTGGCGTTTGGTAAAACTTATTTTCAACTTAAATCAGCTTTTGGCTTAAATTAAGCTATATTGGTGTGTTTGGTACAACTTATGAGGATAGATTATGGCTTAATTTAAGCCAAATTTTGGCTTAAATGGAAAGTTGCTATTGGGGTGCTTATTTTTACAACTTATGCGCACAGCTGTTTTGGGAGGGGCAAAATGACTTAAATGCCCCTCCTAATCTCCATTATTTATGAAAATGCCATTATATATACCCATCTGAAAACACTGTTCACTCTCTCTCTCTCTCGATGAAGGCGATTTCCGGCAGTGTGGAGGCGATTTCCGGCGTGTCGAGGTAATCTTCGTCATTGCGATCTCAAGGCATCCGACACTCATTTTCTCCCTCAACACAGCACAACATCCATCGTCACGACATCTGCTCTCTCTCGCGCGATCGAGTGGAAACCCTAGCGTCGTCGTCATCTCGATCTTTCCCGTCGCGATCTGCTCTCGAAGCTCTAGAAGCTCTCGAAACCAAAGGAAACCCTAGAAGCTCTCTCTCTCTATCTCTCTCTCTCTCGCGATCTGCAATCTCACTCTCTCTCTGTGCAGACCACCGGCAACGAGTCGATCTCGGCTTGGGTTGCGGCATACGGATGGCTCAGGAAGGAAGAGAAGGAAAAAAAAATTTAAATAAATTAAACAAAAATAATAATTAAAAACAAAATAATAAAAATAATATTGAACAAAATAAATTAAACAAAATAAATTGAAATAAAAATAAAAAAATAAATTAATCAAAATAATAATTAGAAACAAAATAATAGAAATAATATTGAACAAAATAAATTAAACAAAATAAATTGAAATAAAAATAAAAAAATAAATTAATCAAAATAATAATTAATACTAATTATATTAACTTTTATTAATGAAATAATTTTTTTAAATTAAAATTGAAAAAAAAATGACAAAATTATCATTTTTATATCATACAAGGGCAAAAAAGTCAATTATACAGAAAAAGCTATTTTAAAGCTTATTTACCAAACACTATTCTGCAACTTAAAACTATAATCTCACAGCTACACCAACTAGTTAATACTAATTATATTAACTTTTATTAATGAAATAATTTTTTTAAATTAAAATTGAAAAAAAAATGACAATTATCATTTTTATATCATAAAAGGGCAAAAAAGTCAATTATACAGAAAAAGCTATTTTACAACTTATTTACCAAACACTATTCGGCAACTTAAATCTATAATCCCACAGCTACACTAAACAGGTTACCAACTTATACTCACAGCTGTAAACTATAATCTATAATAACTTTCTCACAGCTCAACCAAACAGGGCCAATAAAGATGTCAACTCGGGAACTTCCCTATCATGAAGGTTACGGAAAAAATTAAAATTTCACGAACAAGGAGCCAACGAAGAAACAGCCACGGACGCAACAAAACAATTATGAGCTTGAGAAAGTC